AAAAAAAAAAAGGGAAGCAAAGTAACGGGTTAGTGAGGTACGTTAAGCCAAAAGCCAGAGATTTCCGTCTCACAAATGATACTGGAGTTAGGTTGAAGGTTTCACTTTAAAATGCATTTTCACTAATAAATTTCTCTAAATGTTTTCAGTACAAAGAAATTTCTTTGGCATAGAATAGAACACAAGAGAATAAACCTTTATTATTAATATAGACATTAATATTGCACATTAGTGTGCCCACAGCCTGAAGCAGAAAGCCTGGATTTACTAAGAAATTGATAACTACTATTGCATACTCGAGCCAGCAAACTCAAAAATAACCCAGCTATGTCGAACTTGCTTTACAGCAGATCGTTCTGGTGAACCCTAATTGAGTCGTTGAGGCAGAAAAACAGGTCCCGAGACTGTTTATTCAATTAGCTTGGCTTCAGGGCAGGCTGAAAGGAAGCTGGCTTATTGACAAGCATACAGAAGACTGGGTGGATGCAGCTCACAGATTCAGTTTGCTATTTTTTCCCCTCCTAAATTAGCAAAGATTAGGAGATGCTATAAAATGCTGCAAACCATGAGGACAGAACTGGTGTTGCACCACCAAAAGCACCAGTTCAGCATAAAATAGGTTCCAGTGGGGTTCAGGTCAGACTCCAAAGCACCTGCCGCCAATTTTACAGGCGTTCATCATAACAAAAGGAACAAGGGTAAAAAAGAGGCCATAAAAGTTTGTTTTTCTATAACAAGTTTTACTGTATAACTGAATTTGAAAGAATTTCTAAATTTGGCACTAAAGCAGTGTATCATTAAACAAGGCCCTATTGCATTGTTGACAAGTCAAAATACTAGTGGGGGGAAAAAAATCACTGTTATTTGCATTTCACAAATTTATAGCATTTATAGTTTCTACACAGTTTTTTATTTTTTTCATGCCAGAAAAAGATAAAAATCTACTCGCAGTTAAAAAAAACATATTTAAATACAAATCAGTTATGGTCATGCTTTTTGTTTTTTCATTTTTGTCTTTTCTTTTGCAGAGCTGGAAAGGAAAATCAGAGCAAACGACCGCGAGTACAATCTCTCCTTTAAATATGCGGTAAGTGCTGAATACACTGCGTGTGTGTGTTATTGGTGAGTGAAATTCTATTGTCCACTACAAACGTGACTAAAATAAAGATGGAGATCAACAACAGATGTTGTCGCCCACGTATCTTTTAGACAAAACACCGTTAAACACAATTTCTGTCAGTCTCGATATTAACAACAGGAAAAAAAAACCTCCTTGGGGCTGTGTTTATGTGTCTGGCTTTTATCAAGATACGGGCTGTCAGCCAAAACCAAAGAGCTGAGGTTGCTGTTGAGTAAATGCCTTCATTTTCTGCTCTGAGTTGCTGCTGTCAAGGCCAAACCAGTGCATCAATAAATATTACGCTTTAAAAACCAAAACACGAACAAGGAGAAGTTATTTTAGTCTTGTGAACGTAATCATTAAAATGTATCCAAAGCAGACATCATATAAAATGTGTTCTTTTAGAATTTAGAATCCTCTTTATGGAGGATGCTGTTACTTAAAAAGAAAAAGAAATCATAAAAATAATAAAAAATTAGTAAATAATAAAAAATTCAAAAGGCTGTTGCACTAGATAATGAAATAGATGTTATTAACGCTAAGCTGTGTGTTAGCTGTATGCTAACATTCGGCTTAAAGAGGACACAGCCATTAGCAAATAAATGAAAACAGACATAAACAGTCATTTCCTCTGTTTGCGCACTTGTACATTTTACAGTCAAAACAAACTTTCAAGCGTGTGGGTGGTTGTTCTTAGGGAAGAAATGCAGAGACAGCGTGACATGTGAGCTGCAGTCCAGCGAGGCAGTGGGGCTTCTTGATAACATCCACCTGGTGCGGACAAAATGCCCCTCACTCTTTCAGATATCTGTAGGGACGTCAGAAGAGTCACATAACATCCATTAGAAAAACCCTGTGATACTTAAGGAGGAGTTTCATTACAGATTCTGATCTGATTAAACCGTAGACAAAGACTTCTCTGAGGATATTTAACCCAGAGTATTAACCCTGTGTATGTATTTTGGTTCAAACAGATTAACCTCAACATTTTTAAATGGGTGAATTTTACTTAATCTGAGAGACGCTCCTAGGAAATGTACAGTCACTTTCGGGGAATCATCTTTCACAATTATCAGTGAGACATTGTTTTACAGCGACCTAAAAATATCTACAAAAAAATATAAATTGAGCAACGCTGAGAGTGGTTAATGCCACAAACAGGTTGCAAAATTAATCGTTTAATACACTAAAGTTTATAACCATTGAGCAGCTAAGGAATCTAAACATTTGTGAGGCAAAGCATTTTTCTATTTTATTTATTTATCTATTTTTCTGTAGAACCTCTGCTTTCAGCCTCAGTCACGGCACTTTTATTAATAAGTAAATTATTGTGTGTATGCTGCTACTTAATCACAGATGACTGTAATCACATAGACAAAAACATGGTAGGAAACCATTAAGCAGTGAACCATTCACCATGTGTTTGTATATACCACTGCAAACATGTAATTACATTCTTTCCCTTAGTCTGTGTTTTGTCCTGTTTCTTTCTTTTCTCTTTCCCATCACCCTCCAACCAGTAGCAGCAGATGGCCCCGCCCCTCCCCGAACCTGGTTCTGCTGGAGGTTTCTTCCTGTTAAAAGGGAGATTTTTTTTTTATCCCACCGTCACAAAGTCCTTGCTCATAGGGGGTCGTTGGATTGTTAAGGTTTCCTTCTAAATATTGTAGGGACTTTACCTTACAGTATAAACCACCTCGAGGCGACTGTTGTTGTGATTTGGCACCATGGAAATCAGGGGTCTCAAACTTAAATGAGCTGTGGGGCCTCTGCTGGCACTGTCATCTCACACGAGGCCACTTTAGTGTTCAAGTAGTACAAAAAAACCCAACCAAACAAAGAAGAAAACAACCACATATATTTCTGAAAATATAGTGTTGTGATTGTTTTTTTTTTTTCCGTCAAATTTTAAATACTGTATCACAAGAAAAAACTGCAAACGTGAGCACACAAAACCTTTCATTGAACTACCAAATAAACAAATCTGTTTATTCTGCTATCATTTTGTTCATATTTAAGAAAATAAAATGCAGACATAAGTGTACACATTAGTTTCTCTTTCACTGAACTAACACAGCCAATCCCTCAACACGTTTCTGCTCTCTGCTCATATTGCCTTCCTAATAAATCATTTTCTGCTTTTTAGAGAACTTATTTTAGCGTTGCACTCAGCAACAAACACATTCTCTCTAACAAAAATGTAACTTCAAAGGCCCAATTGCTTTATAGTTCTTCACGTCAATATACGGCCGCAAGTAGGTGACGTGGGGCAAACGTTTGAGACCCCTGATGTAAATAAACCTTAACTGAACTGAATAGTAAGACAACCCAAATTAGTGAATGCTAATATATGTTTTACCTTGATAGAAACGCTTGTGGCTGTTTGCTCAAAGTCTTACCCTTTGGTAATGACTTCATCTCATCTTCAGTCACTAATCTAATCAATAATTACAAAGTCTGACTGTGCTTAAAGTCAATATAATGTTTCACATTGGTCTGCAGATGTTGCTGGACTTGCTTTTTCAGTAAAGACCCAGAGTAACAGGATAATCCATGA